ACAAGGCATGAGAATAAAGGATTATTTCCCCCTATAAAGGAATGGATTTAGCTGCAGCTATCCCTCTAGTGACGTCACGTTTAGCCACACCCACTGACAGGAAGTAACCTGGCAGGAAGGGAAAATGGGCATTTTTGAAGGCTCATATCTCAGTGAATAATTTTTTTCAGACAATGGGAGTTGGAACACATCATTAGTATGGTCAGGCAATCATATTAAGCAAATAAAAAAAAAATCTCAAAAATGCACTGAAGTTACCCTTTAATGGTACTAGGAAAATCGCTCAGTGAAGGAGAGCTCATCAAAGCCATTTATAAGGCTGTACAACATAAGATAAAAGAGTTATAAGTGTTTAAAAATCATAAAAATGGCCGCCATCTTGAAAAACCAACCTCAATCCTACATATAGGCTACTGCCTATATAATAGTCCCACACTTATTTGTCTCTTTCTTTTCTCTTTCATATTGGTCTCTCCAAGAGCAGAGTTATCACATAAATCATGATTTCTAGAAAATTAATGCTTTGTTTGTATAGCTCTGCCATTTATACTACATGCATATACAACATATGTACATACATGTATTTATTTACTACCTCTTGGGATAAGTTTTGTAAAAATGTTTTTTTTTGTTAAAAAAGTAAAAGTACTGAGCTAAACACTACATGCAAGTAAAAGTACTATTTGAAGTACAATGTGTATGTAGTGCGAAATTTTCAAGGACCGTAACTTTCCCAAAATTGAATAAAAATCTGTTTTGCAGATTTAATGATAACTAATATATGCTGCCTGACATCTTGTACAGTATTACCGGTAATTTGATTTTCGCGGAAGTAATTTCCGCGAATATTCAAAAAATCACAAAATCTGCAAAATTAACAGCCCTTGAAAAAAGGCACACTATGGAAAATGCACTGATTATCAATGATAAATTAACACTTATAACTTACCAAAATATGTCCATATCTCTGAAATACATCTCTAAGATCATATATACTGACATTCTTATGAATGTTACCAACGAACAAGGATCTTGTAGCACTCGGATCAAACTCATTACCAGGAGAAATAAAAGGATTGCCATGACTAAACCCAAGGGGGGTTAAACTGGAAGAGTATTGATCTTCATGTGAAGGGGCTGATACATGTAAATTTAGCTCACGACCTCCACTAGGAAAATCTTAACAAAAAACCAATTAATAATGATCATAAAAGAAGGAAAACACCTGCATTGTAAAAGATTGTCACTTTTAATTTAACACCAAAAATAGAAATTCCATGCAAACTGTTTAGAGCATTATCTCTTTCACGTAAACTAAAGTACAGGAACAAAATCGAAGTTTTGATTAATAACAAATATACCTTTGAAATTTGACAAGAGCATAGCGTTGTTCATCCTCACCATAAAGCTTAACTTTAGGCTTAGAAGAATAACTACAACACTTTTGATAAAGTGCTTCATGAACTGATGACTCTAATGAAACAAAATAAACTTTGTAAAGTTAAAAGCAAGAGTACATGTATATTGTGAACATACAATGTGTGCATCATTGGAAACAACACTATTAGCTGTTTTCTGCAAAATATCTTACCTGACCTATGATGAGACAGATTCATAAACTTAAGTATAAGGCTTTCATTTTCTGGACTTTGTTTCTGCTTCACAACCTCAGTTTCACCTTCAGAGTCAGTAGTACTACTTACACTTGAGCTTCTCGCATCACTGGACGTGCTACTACTACTACTAGTAGAACTTTGTAAAGAGAAATGAAAGGGAGATATTTCTTATAAAACAATGAAAGAGAAAATATGCAAGATAAAGGACACAAAAGTGCAGTAAAGCATGTACATAAAGCATGTACATGTACATTACATGTACATGTATACTGACAAAATAATTGTAAAGTAATATAACAAAGCACTTGGCTGTACTAAGTACAGTACACATCAAAAAAAGGCTAAGTAGGGTACAGAAGAGAAAAGAACCTTGAAGGTACTGTAGTTCGTAGGTACATTGTGTACTTCGCTACTACTTCACTACTCTTCGCTACTACTTCGCTACTACTTCGCTACTCTTCATTACTCTTCATTACTCTTTGCTGCGTTATGCTGCCATCCCACCCAGTCACATGTACAATAGTAGAACTTGTAGATGCTTCTTTGGCTGTCTGTGCTCTCCAAGTTCATCTATAATGCCACTCTCTCCTTCTGGAAGCCTGTTTAGGATGTTTTTGCACTGTTCTACTGTCACGCTACTCTCTTCTACAGTCTACTGCTGTGCTACTGTCTTCTACTGTCGCGCTACTGTCCTGCTACTGTTGCAGTAAGCATGCGCAGAGAAGGAGCAACGAACTACCTACGCAAAAGTAGAGTAACTGCGGGGTAGCTACTTAGCCTTTTTTTTGATATGTACTGTATATGCATGCAGGTGTTTACAATATCAAAATTACTAAGTACATGTATAAAATATGAACTAAATGCACCCGACTACTGTAGATGCAGACATTCATTGCTATGATTGGGCATCACATAAAAATCATACAATGTTAACGAATTACATATAGCTACTATTTTCACGATAACTTATGTAATCGAAAAATTTGCACTTAATGTCTAGTTGACTTCATGATGAAAATCTTTTGCAACAAAAGCAATGCCCAGACATAATTACTGTATACATGTAGTACTTCTTTCAACAGTAACAATTTTTTGAAGGTTTGCCAAACCAAAATCACTGGAGACAGAAATTAATATGTAGGTTTCAAAGGCCTCAAAATTAGAAAATGTTTATAGCAATTACAGTAATATTCACATAAATATGATGAACTATAATAGTTAGCCAACATTTCACATCATAAGAATATTCTGATGTGCTATTCATTAATTGATAGTTACTATAATAACACACAACACTAGTGCATCAATGATTAGTCTCTTACATGGACACAAGATAAACAATAAGCCATAACCTTAACATTAAATGTTATAAAAAACAGTAAAGGTAAAAAATAATAATACTAACATGTAATGTAGCGGCATGATGGTACAACAATATCATATGCCCAAAAAACAAACGAGCTGTGCTAAAACATAAAGTACTCATACACATACTTGTACCGTATTTCCTTAAATAAAAGCCCAGACGTCTATTTCCTAAAATGGTATTTGGATCTTGAAAAATATATAAAAAAACTTCAGCCCAGAGCAGGATTCGAACCCATAACCCTATGCTTATGACTTCAGGAACTTCAGGCATTATCCACTAGACTACTGAGTTACTTCTGGGCTAGGGTTGTGTATTTATAGTTCAATCCTATTGCTACCCTGGCGTTTATTCAAATGTGGCTTCTATTTAAGGATATACGGTACATCTACAATGCACAATGTCCTGTAGCCTCACCTAGTTGTACTCCTGTGCTCCTCATCACCTGAAGCTGTAGTGAAATGTGGGTGTTCTTTACATTTGCTTGATTGATCACAAAATGACTTCTTCACTTCAGAACCCTAAATACATGTATACAGTACATTTAGGAAGAAATGCATGTATGTACATCAAAAACAAAAATCAAAATGTAATGAAGTATGTATACATGTACATGTGTATACATGTACATCTACAAGTAGGGAATAACATCCTGGACATGGTGTACAAAAATAAAACCATAGCCCAGACTTCATATGCAATACTTTCTTGTTTCCATTCACTTCTATAAATATACAGTCCATGTACATGTATATACAAGTAAATCTAATTGAACTATGTGTACCAATTCACAAAAAAGAAAATACTCCATAAACATAACTACAACAATCATTAGGGTAGGATAAAGTATATAGTATCATTAAAATCATAAAAACCTTAATTTTGATGTCAGCTTTAAAAGCAGCAACTGCATCATCATCTTTATAAAAATCAATACATGCAGAAAGACCTCCGTTTGGATCATTTTGTGACAATAGCTTAATGCTCTCAACTTCACCAAATCTAAGGGAAAAAGGAAAAATGCATCAAAGCTATTTGACAGGAAGAGAGAGAACTCTCCATCAACTATACAAAGTAGAGTATAGCAGGAAATTTTCAGTTTATAAGTGAATGAAGAACATAAAGAAAATATAATAATTTTTATTAAAGTACTTTCTTTTCTTTATGATCAATTGTGACTTGCTGGCACATGTAGCTCCAATATCAATTTTAAGCTCTTATCTGGCTTTTCTTAAATATAAGCTTCAATCAATTGAGC